GGGGATGAATTTCTGGATGGGACTAGTTGCTTTAAGTTTATATTATATATTCATTATTCTTTTACTCGGATTTGTAATAATCTTGTAGTAACTCTTAAATCAAGTTTTAATAATTCTAGCATGTTAATTAGTCAGATGTTGACAATTCCTTGTATGTTAATAATTTTTCAGCATGTCTTACCACTTAGAAATCATGTCTATAGGACTTGACTAATAAAATTGATGTTATTTAATCAGTGCAAATAATCTCAGCAGGTTTTTAATAACATAATCTTGTCTACTAATCAAGTTCTAATTTATTTAAGTTAATAAAATTGCAGTATGTTAATAGTTGGGTAAATTTTTCTGTCAGCATGTTAATTCGCTTAGAAACCATACCCATAAGATTAAATAAACAATTTTTTAGCATGTTAAATAATTGAGATAAATCTGCTGCACATTTTCTGCTCACTGTTCCACTAATTCTGTAATTGCAATAATTTGCTGGTCACTTGAGATAAATCAATTAATCTCCAGCATGATAAAAAAAAACTGAACTACATTTTGTTATGCATTGTGCCACTATTTTGTGATGCATTAAAGTACTGCGACTTAAAAGATAAAATAAATAAATAAATCAATAATGCTTTTTCTGCATATTAATCTGCTCGACATAATCAATTTTGCATTGTATCTGTTCGTTCTGTCATTTAAAATCAACTGACAATTAATTTATGCATCTGCTACTTTAAACACATACTGCCCTAATTCAAATCTGCTCTAAATATTAAACTTCTGCATCATAAATCACTATTATGTCACTCTTTTAAAATCAGTTAATACTTTCTTGCCCTTAATAATTTTCTGCCCCTCTGAAATTCATAAAATAAATTGTTATAATGTATATCTATGTATTTGTATGCCACACACTCAACATGCAACCTTTTCACCTTACATGTGTTTGCTAGCATGTTAATAATTTAATCTTGAGGCCAACATGAGATATATGTGTTAAATGTTCATCATATTTGTTTGACTTGGTGTCTAGGTGGGCCTAATTAGGAGCCTTTATTTTATTTTTAGTCTAAAACCTCCAATAGTAGTCCAATGCTTCTTGGACCTTAAGCGGGGATGATATGCAACTTCTAGGACGTTATGCATGTGGAAGGTGGGGTAGGGGTAGTTTAGTCCCTACGGATATGATGACATCGACTCAGGCTCAAAGCGACAAACCTTGGTTTTCTCTGTCCCTACACGGAAGCCTATCAAAAAAAAGTCGAGTGTTGATCCGTAAAGTCCTTCAGAGTCTCCCTTTCCTTTTGTCCCTTTATTTGTTTATAATTATAATTGTTTGGGATAGCTTAAATAAAATAAAAATTATTTGCTTATCTATTTGTGTAATTTCTGTCTCTTCGCTTATCTCTTTGTTAATTGTGTAATGTTTATTTGTTACTATGTTATCATTTAGTCTTGCATGTTTAACTATTTAATTAAAATAACTAAAGTGCTCTTAATTGTTAAATATTATGTTATCACCTAATTTTGCATGTTTAATTAATTAAATGAAGTAATCTTAATTGTTAAATATTATGTTATCACTTAGTAAGCATGTTTAAGTTAAATAACCTAAATAAATGACGTGACCATACTTGCTACTTGTAACCCCCACATAAATTGCATGAGATACAATCAGGACCCACATTTGTGGACCTCAAGGGATGCCTAACGCCTTCCCCTCGAGATAATTTGAACTCTTACCCTTATCTCTGTTTCGTTGACCTTAGTTAGATTTAACTAGGTTAGATAGGTGCCCTAACGCGCCTTAATTCGTTAGGTAGCAACTCTTCAATCCAACCCAAAACCCGAAAGAGTTGTTAGGTCGAAAGTCCATTTTTGGGGAAAAAATGGCGCGACAGAATGGTGACTCCGCTGGGGATTTATTTGTTTAGTTATTTTCTTGGTTATTGTGTATTTTCCATATTCCACCCATTTTCCTCTTCCTTATTTGTTTATTTCCATGTTTAATCCCCTCCCTTTCTCCTAATTTGTTTGCTCGTATGCTTAATTCCATACCCTACTTCCTTATTTGCTTAATTCTCCAATATGTTTGTATGTTTATTTCCTTTTATTTATGCATGTATTTATTTACTTGTTTATTTATTTACCGCTTTTCATAAACTGCTTATATGTTACTGCTTTCCACATAAGTGTTAAATGTTACCGCTTTGATAAAATGACATTCCGCTCATACTTCCTCCAATTGGGATCCTCTTTCTCTTTTTTTTTTTGTTCTCGTGATGGTGTGTGACTATGCACTTCTCACAAATACTCCAATTCTCTTCAAACACCCTATATTAGAGAAATGGCTAAGGCATGACAGTTGCGGATAGTAGTATTACCGTGGAACCATGTGCCTTCTCGCATAGAATCCTTTTCAAGTCCGCGTCAAACCAACTCTTAGAATTTTCAATTAGGTCATACATGTTGCATAAACCTTAGGTGGTTTGACCCCTGGTGTCAATTCACACAATTAGTAGTCACCCTATCGTCTAAAGGGCCCCAACACCCTTTAGACAAATTGCATATTATGTGTCAATGTGGTCATAATAACTAAATCAAGCCTAATTTATGCCAAATTGGAGTTTAGAACTTGTTTGTTGTTTGTTTGTAGTCATGGCCGCTCCCAACTTCCCAAACACGCAAATGTTCACAAAAGCAAATGATCTTCTGAAGAGATGGTGGGTGAACATCAAGAAGGACCATGAGTTGGAAATTCGCAAATTACTGGGTGGATTGACCTTTCTATTATTTGTTGAACCTAATCGCTATATGATCATGGCCCTGCTGAAATTCTGGGACCCTGCAAGATTGGTTTTCAAATTCACTTTGAGCTAACTCCAACACTCGAGAAAATTTGAGGGTTTGTTAACCTTCCCTTTCAAGGGTGGCAAATGATTGTGCCACACAAGCAATAACCAAAGAAGTTCTTGAAGAGTCTAGGATTGAAGCGTAATCGGGAGATGGACTGTTTAGATAAAGGATGGATCTCAATAGAATTTTTGTACCACCGCTTTTGTGACGAGAAAGGGTGCATATGGAGTTCAACCATATGCACCACTCCGATCCCTCCGCCAATTTGGACAATTCCAAATGATACATTTACGATCCCATATGGGTCATTATGGGTATGACTTTGGGCCAGAAACACCACAAGTCGACACCATACTACAAAGGTGGGAAAGAGTGAGAACCATCGACATCAGAGAAGATAGACCCTACTGCACACCCAAGCATTATGTATGGATCTTGGAGGATGCTGAGCATATGGACTTAAGCGAAGGAGGCCTTCCTAATTTTGGTGACGAGATGGAAAGAATATGGGCTCGCAACCTTCTGAACAATGATTATGACATGACCCCGGAAATGATAGAGCAGATTGCACCAAACATTGGAGACCACCATGATTGAAGTTTTTTTTAGGATTTTTATTTTCCCCCATTGTTATCCCTAGACCTTTAGATTATTTCTAGTTTTGATTTAGTTTGATGTAATAATTTGAAGTTATTCAATATATAAAGATCATTTTTTCCTTTATTTCTCTAACTCTAAACTCCAAATTGGCAAATATGGCTTGAATTAATTATTATGCATCACTTATATGTCGTCTTAGGCCTACCTCTGGCTCAATGAGGTCCTTTGCATCTAGGGCGCTTATTTCAAACAATGCGCTGTTATTATTATAAATTTGCTATAATCCTTAACATTGTTTTCTGTTAATTCCATTGTTTTTCCCATTCCTCAGGTTGATCTGTCCTTCATTCTGGCACATACACGATCAAAAGGGACCCCCCTTCTCCTCCTCTTCAAAGAACAGACTACAAAGACAAAGGTAAAATGGTTGACAACAACAGCAGCAACGAAAGGACAGAAACTTCTGAGGGAGGACAACTTCCGAGTGACCTTGTCCTTAGACTTGAGCGGAAGATTTCAGAGTTGGAAGAAGAAGTAGCACATATGCGTGATTTGGCCAAGTTGTCTATATCTCTCGGAACCCAATTTGGCAAAAATATAGACAATCCTCTTCACTCTAACCAAACAACCATGCCAAACAACCCTCCTACCAATATATCCCGACCTGAACCCACTCATCTAAATATCTTCCCACCAATTCACGCCCAAAATACCCAAATCCCATTTTACCACTACCACAAACAAAGTAAGCCAACCATTACGGAGCCAATTCCAAATGCAAACCCTTCATATACTCCTGGAAACAACAACCTTAACCCCATATATGTGGAAACCGCTCCAGTGACCTATAACAACCATGAATCAAAGTCCTTCCAAAAGGACATTCTGATAAAAATCCTGACCGAGAGATTAGATAGCTTGGCCAACAGGGTGCAACATGTGGAAGGAAGCAAGAGGTTGGGAGGACTGAGCTACGAGGATTTGTGTATGCACCCCGACGTAGAACTGCTTGAAGGATAAAAACTTCCAAAATTTGATGGCATTGGAGATCCCAAAGTCCACCTACGAATGTACTATAACAAACTTGTAAGGGTGGGGAGAGATGAGAAGAAACTCATGAAGTTGTTTATAATGAGTCTCACTGGGGAGGCTCTATCATGGTATATTGAACAACACCCTCGAAAATGGGTTGAGTGGGTGGACATGGCAACAGACTTCATGAACAGGTTTGGATTTAATGTAGAAAATGCACTTGACTGGTTCTACATCCAAAACTTGAGGAAAAGCCTAGTGAATCTTTCAAGGATTACGCCATAAGATGAAGGTCTGAAACGGCCAGGGCCAGACCTCTCATGGAAGAATCTCAGATGAAAAACTACTTTATCTGTGCCCAAGAGCCACAATATTATGATAGGATGCTGCTTGTAGCTGAGAAGAATTTCGCTGAAATTATCAAATTAAGTGAAAGAATTGAAGAAGGCATAAAAAATGGGACTATCACCAACCTAGAGGCCCTAAAAGCCACCAACAAAGCTATGTAATCCGATGGAATGGCAGAAAACTGGAAGAAAACAGGTTCGGTCATGATGACTCAAGGAACCAGAACCCCTTATAAGTACCGAGCAACAACCCCACCTCCATCTCCATATCCTCAAACTCCATATCCTTCAGCTCCACCACCTATATCTCCCCATCCCATGCCAGTATATTACCAAAATGCTCCTCTTCAATATCAACAAGCTTCATATCCTGTTTATAATGCCCAGCCAACATACTTCCAAACTCCACCACCCACTCAAACACCGAACTACCGAAACAGATCTCCATATGAAAGAAAACCTACAAAAAACTATACCCCTCTGGCTAAGTCCATAGCCCAGCTTTATGAGAGACTGAAAGAGGCTGGCTAAGTCACCCCAGTTCCTGCATTGTCTGTGGATGTCTGCACAAAATGGTATGACCCTAACAAGGTTTGTGCCTACCATTCTGGGATGAAAGGTCACACTATCGAAGTTTGCAGAGCCCTGAAAGATAAGGTTCAAATGTTGATTGATACAAAGGTCATACAACTCAAAGATCCGACACCAAATCTTGCAAACAACCCTCTGCCTAACCATCAGGTCAACATGGTAGAAATTGATGATACCTCAGATTGAGAGAAATCCATTTGGGTCCTTGAGGTAGAAGAAGCAATGACTGTTACCGCCCAGACTCCAATGGTAGTGCAAAGGCGTGCTCCGTTTGAGGTTGAGGTCGCCATCCCCAAGCCCCCATTCACAGTCCTCAGAGCACCTCCCCCTCTCCAATTTGATACCCATGTTGTCCCATGGGATTATGGAAAGGGAAAGGAAAAAGTGGAAGAAACAGACACTGCAGCATGAGTGACTAGATCTAGAAGAATTTATACTTCCAAAAATTTGGTTCAGGGTAGCTCCAGTAAATCCAAGGCACCAATTATAGAGCTTGAAGATCAAGGTATCTGGAAGAAGGTGCAAGCTAAAGAGTACTCTATTGTTAAGCAATTGAGTAAAATCCCGTCCCAAATATCAATCCTGTCATTGCTGCAATCTTCTGAAACTCATTGGAGCGCTCTTTTGAAGGTCCTGGGTGAAACCTATGTCCCATCTAGCATAACTCATGAAGAGGTAGCCCAAATGGTCGGGCAGGTTTTTGAGCCATACAAAATATCTTTTCACGAAGATGAGTTGCCACTAGAAGGAACAACCCACAATAAGGCTCTGCACATTTCAGCTCAATATTAGGACAAGATTATCACCAAAGCTTTGGTCGATTCAGGTTCTGGTTTGAATATTTGCCCTCTGAGCACGTTAACAGGGATGGGCGTGGATAGTGCAAAGATCCAGACCTTGAGGATGAATGTGAGAGCATTTGATGGCTCTCAGAGGGGTACCATTGGGGAAATAACCTTGGACATGCTCGTTGGTCCTGCGACCTTCCTAATAGCCCTCCAGGTCTTGGACATCCCATCTTCATATAACCTACTGCTGGGTCGTCCTTGGATTCATATGGCTGGAGTCGTTCCCTATACTCTTCATCAATGCTTGAAATTTGAATGGGATTATGAAGAGGTTGTAGTCCATGGAGAAAGAGGACATCTTGTATATGCGATAGAAGGAAGGGGTCATCTAGATGATGAGATGTACCATACAGTTGAGTTTGTTGGCAACATTGAAGTGCAACTTTGGTTTAGCCAGAAGATCATAGATATGATGACCTAGTTTGGTTTCGAGCTCGGGAAAGGTTTGGGAGCCAATCTACAAGGAATAGTTGAACCTATATAACCCGTTCGTCATTCAACCACTTTCGGCTTGGGATACAAATATACTATGGAAGAGTGGCTAGATTGGCAACCACCCATAAATGGGTACTACAATCCATTGAAGAAACCCATACCATCGTTGCAGCAATCATTTCTATCAGCAGGTTTCATGGGTGGCGTCATTGACAAGCTTCCAGAAGACATAAGAGGTTTGTCTCTGACCAAGGAGGAAGGGAAAGTTTGCAATGTCGTGATCAACGAGGAGGAGAAAGTGGACCCTAGAGGAAGCAGTGAAGCGAAGATCAACATCAACATTTGGACCTCAACTCCATCCAGACCTCGTCGGGCATCTGGGTAGCTTTGGAAGAAGTTTTTCTATCAAATTTTAAATGTTTTCAATAAACATTTTTTAATTCCAGTTCTCTGTTATTGTTTTCAAATGCTAGTATTATGAAACTCTTGAGTTTTAATAAATAAAGTTCTTTTCCCATCTATTTAATGTCTTATATTTATTTGTGCGTTATTCTTTCTTCCAGCAAAATCTGTTATAAAAATGTTGAATCTAAGACTATGGCATATAATGAGACTGCACAGCTTAACATTAATGATTTAGAAGAGTTCGAGGAGATTGAAGTCCCGAAGAGTTAATTAGAAAGGTTGAGGAATTCGAGGAGAAGCCCAATCCAAACTTAGTGGAAACAGAGGTAGTAAATCTGGGAAATTTAGAAGTGACACAACCCGAGTAAGCATCCATATGATGGAAGATGACAAGAAAGAGTATACCGAGTGTCTCATGGAGAATAAGGATATCTTCGCTTGGTCCTATGAAGACATGACAGGGCAAAGCACTTCAATCGTAGCTCATTTATTGCCTATTGATCCAGCTTGTCCTCCTGTGAAGCAGAAACTGAGAAAATACAAGTCTGAGTTGAGTTTGAAAATCAAAGAAGAAATATCGAAGCAATTAGATGTTGGAATCCTTCAAGTGACAGAGTACCCAACCTGGCTTGCAAATGTCGTTCCAGTGCCCAAGAAAGACGAAAAGGTTAGAGTTTGTGTGGATTATCGGGATCTCAACAAAGCTAGTCCCAAGGATAACTTTTCCATTGCCCAACATACACATCTTGATTGACAACTATGCTAAGCATGAAACACAATCATTCGTGGATTGCTTTGCCGGCTATCATCAAATTGAGATGCATAAGGACGATGATGAGAAGACTACTTTCATCACACCGTGGGGTGGCTACAACTACAAGGTAATGCCTTTCAGGTTAAAGAATGCTAGTGCTACATACATGAGGGCAATGACCACCCTATTTCACGACATGATCCACAAGGAAATTGAAGTTTATGTGAATGACGTCATCATCAAATCAAAGAAGGGTTAAAATCATCTGGATGATCTGCAAAAGTTCTTTTCCAGACTACGCAAGTATAACTTGAAGTTGAATCCTGCAAAGTGTGTCTTTTGGGTTCCTGCTGGAAAGCTTCTGGTTTCATTGTCAGCCGTCGGGGTATAGAATTGGATCCATCAAAAATCCATTCGTGATTTACCTCCGCCGAAGAGTAAGAAGAAGGTAATGAGTTTCTTGGGATGACTCAATTACATCAGTCGTTTCATAGTACAGTCTACTGTTATTTGCGAGCCTATTTTCAAGTTGTTGAAGAAGGATGCTGCGGTGAAATGGAACAAATGAATGTCAACGAGCATTTGACAAAATCAAAGATTACTTGTCCAATCCTCCTGTGTTGGCTCCACCGAAATCTGGTAGACCATTGTTATTATACATATCGATGCTGGATAATGCTTTCATCTGTATTTTGGGGTAACATGATGAGACTGGAAAGAATGAGCAGGCGATATATTGCATGAGCAAGAAGTTTACATCATATGAGGCTCGATACTCTCTATTGGAACATACCTGTTGTGCTCTAACTTGGGTCGCCCAGAAACTGCGACACTACCTCTCCTCGCACACTACTTATCTGATTTCAAGGATAGATCCTCTGAAGTATATCTTTCAAAAGTCCATGCCTACAGGTAAATTGGCTAAATGGCAGATACTATTGAGCGAGTTTGACTTAGTGTATGTTACACAAAAAGCAGTGAAGGCACAAGCATTAGCAGATCATATGGCGGAAAACCCTGTAGATGATGATTATAGACCATTGAAGACTTATTTCCCGGACGAGGAAGTAACTTTCGTGGGGGAAGACATCTCTGAAGAATATGATGGTTGGAGGATGTTCTTTGATGGAGCTAAGAATTTGAACGGATCCGACATCGGAGCTATTTAGATCTCGCCAACTGGGAAACATTATCCGATATCGGTGAAACTCAGATTCCTTTGCTCAAATAATATGGCTGAATATGAAGCTTGCATATTGGGGCTCCGACGTACTATCAACTTGGATATCCAGGAAATGCTGATAATAAGAGATTCAGACATATTGATTTATTAGGTCCGATGTGAATGGGATACCAAGAATCGAAAGTTGTTACCATACTTGGAGTGCGTGCATAGGTTGTGCAAAAGGTTCGTCAAGGTAGAATTCAAACATGTGCCAAGGATCCAGAATGAATTCGTAGATGCCTTAGCCACTTTGTCTTCCATGATTCAACATCCCGATCATAATTACATTGATCCTATTCACATCCACATATACGAGCAACCATCATACTGTTTTCATGTTGAGGAAGAGACTGATGGAAAGCCTTGGTACAATGACATTCGAGGATATTTGAAGAGCGGTGAGTATACAGAGGATGCAACAAGTGTACAAAAGCGTACAATTCAGAGGTTAGCGAATCAGATCTTTCTAAGTGGAGAAATCCTTTATAGGAGGACTCCTGATTTGTGATTGCTAAGGTGCGTCGAAGCTGGAGAAGCTAGCAAACTGATTGAAGAGATACATGCAGGAATATGTGGTCCTCACATGAACGGTTTTACATTGGCAAAGAAGATCCTAAGATCGGGATATTTCTGGCTAACTATGGAGACAGACTGTATTCACTATGTTAAAAAATGTCATCAATGTCAGACTCATGCAGATATGATCTGAGTTCCTCCCAACGAACTCCATGTACTAGTTCGCATTGGCCCTTTGCAGCTTGGGGAATGGACGTCATTGGTCCAATCAAGCCAGCAACATCCAATGGACATAGATTCATTCTAGTTGCAATCGACTACTTCACCAAATGGGTCGAAGCCACATCTCACAAATCAGTGACAAAGAAGGTTGTGAATGACTTTGTCAAAAATAATATTATCTGTAGGTTCGGGATTCCTGAGTCAATCATCATTGATAACGGAACCAACTTAAATAGTGATTTGATGAGATCATTGTGTGAGAAGTTCAAGATCAATCATCAAAATTCTACAGCATGTAGACCACAAATGAACAGAGCGGTCGAGGCTGCATATACAAATATCAAGAGGATATTGCGCAAGATGATCGACAATCACAGACACTGGCATGAAAAGCTACCATTTGCATTGTTGGGATATCGTACTACCATCAGAACTTCTACTAGAGCCACACCTTATTTTCTAGTATATGGTAATGAAGTTGTGATACCTGCTGAGGTAGAGATACCATCTTTAAGGATTATTCAAGAAGCGGAGTTGAGTGATGCTAAATGGATACAAGGGTGGTTGGAGAATCTGACATTAATAGACGGAAAGGATTAACGCTGTCTGTCATGGCCAACTCTATCAAAATAGAATGGCCAGAGCTTTCAACAAGAAGGTTAGACCCAGACATTTCTCACATGGGCAACTGATTTTGAAGCGGATTTTCCCAAATCAAGATGAAGCAAAGGGTAAATTCTCACCAAACTGGCAAGGTCCATACATAGTATCTCGGGTATTGACAAGCGGAGCCCTCATACTTGCAGAAATGGATGGAGAAGTTTGGCCCAAACCTATCAACTCAGACATTGTGAATGGATATTACATCTGAGTTTGTTTCATGCTCTTTTACTCTGTATTTGGAACTACGTCAGACCTGATTCCTGTTTAAGAGGGGATACGTAGGCGCTCCTATGGAGTTCGGTCTTTATCTTAGTAAAATTTTCATTTTCCCCCATTTCATTGTGTAACTGGGCAGAATTTTTGAGAGGGTCTCGAAAATTTCTATCAAAAGAATTTATTCTCACAAATTAGTAACTGGGGCAGAATTTTTGAGAGGGTCTCAAAAATTTCTTCAAACGAGCATTTTCTGCACAAATCAAGACTGGGGTAGAATTTTTGAGAGGGTCTCAAAAATTCACAACAATCAAGCTACAATCTTCAACAAAGATCATAATAACAGATTTGCTACGGAGTCAAATGTTGTAAAATCTCAAACTGCATCATAAATCACTGTTATGTCACTCTTTTAAAATCAGTTAATACTTTCCTGCCCTTAATATTTTTATGCCCCTCTGAAATTCAAAAAATAAATTGCTATAATGTATGTCTATGTATTTGTATGCCACACACTCAGCATGCGACCTTTTCACCTTACTTGTGTTTGCTAGCATGTTAATAATTTAATCTAGAGGCCAACATGAGATGTGTGTGCTAAATGCTCGTCCTATTTGTTTGACTTGGTGTCTAGGTGGGCCTAATTAGGAGCCTTTATTTTATTTTTAGTCTAAAACCTTCAACAATAGTCCAATGCCTCTTGGACCTTAAGCGGGGACGATAGGTACCTTCTAGGACGTTATGCATATGGAAGGTGGGGTAGGGGTAGTTTAGGCCCTACGGATATGATGACATCGACTCAGGCTCAAAGTGACAAACCTTGGTTTTGTCTGTCCCTACACGAAAGCCTATAAAAAAAAAGAAAAAAAAAGTCGAGTGTTGATCCGTAAAGTCCTTTAGAGTCTCCCTTTCCTTTTGTCCCTTTATTTGTTTATAATTATAATGTTTGGGGTAGCTTAAATAAAATAAAAATTGTTTGCTTATCTATTTGTGTAATTTCTGTCTCCTCGCTTATCTCTTTATTAATTGCTTAATGTTTATTTGTTACTATGTTATCACTTAGTCTTGCATGTTTAACTAATTAATTAAAATAACTAAAACGCTCTTAATTGTTAAATATTATGTTATCACCTAGTTTTGCATGTTTAATTAATTAAATGAAGTAATCTTAATTGTTAAATATTATGTTATCACTTAGTAAGCAGGTTTAAGTTAAATAACCTAAATAAATGACGTGACCATACTTGCTACTTGTAACCCCCCACATAAATTGCATGAGATATGGCTGGGACCCACATTTGTGGACCTCGAGGGATGCCTAACACCTTCCCCTCAAGGTAATTTGAACCCTTACCCTGATCTCTGGTTCGTTGACCTTAGTTAGATATAACTAGGTTAGATAGGTGCCCTAACGCGCCTTAATTCATTAGGTGACGACTCTTCAATCCAACCCAAAAGAGTTGTTAGGTCGTACATCCGAAAGGAAAGTCCGTTTTTACGAAAAAAAAGGGGCGCGACAACCACTATTTTTAGAATAGCGGATAAGTAAAGATGAATGGGGAATAAAATAAACATTATAGTAAAAGAAAGTAGTAAAGAATTCTAAAGTACAAAACTCCCCTTCAGCTTCAGCCTCAAATTACAATTTTTTTCTAATTCCACCCCGTACTCCCGACCTTCTCCATTCAAAAAAAAAATTAAAATTTTAAAATTCCTTTTCTTAAAAAAATCAATTTATTTTGTCCCTCCCCGCCCCTACCCCCAAACCACCTCCAACAAAAAAAGTTAACAACTTAAAATTTCATTTTCGAAAAATAGTTCAAATTTTAAAATTTTCAATTTTTTTACTCTACCCAACCCCTGACTACCCCTACCCTCACCCACTACAAAATTTTTAAAAGTTTGTTTTTGAAAAAAAATTAAAAATTTCAAATTTTCATTTTCTTCGACCCACACTTACCCCAACCCCATACCACCCCCTGCCAAAAAAATAAAAATAAAAATAAAATTAAAGTTTATTTTTTAAAAAATATTTCAATTTCAAAATTTTATTTTTTTCATCCCACCCCACCCCTACCCCGATCGCCCCCTACCAGCCCTTGCCCCACCCCCACCCCCACCCCCCAAAAAATCATTTAAAGTTTGTTTTTAAAAATTATTTTCATTTTCAATTTTTTAATATTTTACCCCACCCCACCCCTACCCCCGACCCCACCAGCCCCCTCAAAAAAAAATTTAAAAGTTTGTTTTTGAAAAATATTTTCAAATTTTAAAAATAATATTTTTCATTCCACCCTACCCCGACCCCTTAACATGCCCCCAATCCCAAAAAAAAATAATTTAAAAGTTTATTTTTGAAAAATATTTTCAAATTTTTTATTTTTTTACCACAACCCCTCCACCCCCCCTCCCCCCACACACATGAAATTTAAATTTTTGTTTTTCTAAAAAATATTTAAATCTCAGTTTGAAATTTAGGTTTCGAATCAGGTGTGGTTGAATCACAATTCGAAAGTTGCGGTCAAAATTTCAATCTAAAAGTCAAATTTTATGTCTCGCATCAATTATTAATTATTGAGATCGAATTCTGATTTGAAAGTTGGGTCTTAATTTGAGGTCGAAATCCAAATTAATGGATCGAGTGTCGAAGTCAAAATTCAACAAGCAACACACCAATGTTCACCTATGAGACGAAACACAATGAAATTTTTTGTTATGAATATTAAATAAAGGAGTAAAGTATCAATATTATAAATCTCAAATTAATTGAAAAAATTAAACATACTCATACATCACACCGGCCAATATCGAAATTAGCATTAATGGACCAAAAACAAAATTTACAAAACACACTATTTCTATTAACCGCGTATTATTATACCCCTTTGTTTTTTTTTAAAAAGACCTATTTTTATTTTTAGCTTGTTTAAAAAAGAATAATTTTTTTTTTTTCGCTACACTTTAATTTCAACTTTTCACATGACATGTTTAATGCCACAAGATTAACAAGCATTTTGATACATTTAATATAATTTTAATTTAGGACCACAAGATTGAAAAATCTTATTTTTTAGAAAACTTTGTGTCAAGTCAAACTAGATTTTTTTTTTTTTATATATGGAGAAGAACTTTACTAGTAAAAAAAAACAACTTTATTTTATTTGGACTTTTGATTGAGAGTCCTAATTTGTAACTACAATAACTTCATATTTCTCCAAAGTAGAAAGTATTTTAATTGGGTAAGAAAAATTGTAAATTTTTTAATTTCCGTAAGTATTTGGATAACCAGCATCCTACAGTACCAACATGGAAGAAATAATAATTCTATACCTGAACAAATTATAATCCTTAAATTAAGAACCCCAATTCTTAAAAAATTAAATAACAATTTGAGAAAAATGATGAAAAGATGATTTTATGTAAAGCCTTTTAAAAGGACAAAAAGTTCAAACGAATCATTTTTAATATAATATAAAAAAATTGTTATAAAGATTTTACTTTTTTGTGATTTTATTTATCCAAAAAGAAAAAAGTATAATAGATGTACACGTGAATGGTGGTGCAAACACTAATTTAAAACCCTAAAATGCCCTTGACCAAGAAGTTCAAGAGTTCAACTCTCTGTTGTACTGTATATTTTAGTTAGAGTATTAGATGGAGCATGAAAATATGAAAAAGTCAATTAGGTTTTAGAAGAAGTAATTGTAGGTATTTAAGATTGTTGAGTAGAAAATCATATTCTTATTCATCATAACCATACGAAGAAAATGGTGAGGCAGAGGAGTAATCGGGATAGTGAAAGTGTGGTTCTGGTAGCTAAGAGGTCAAACTATGTGATTTTGGCCTTGTTTGTGGTAGCTGTATATGGGAGTTGGTTTGTGTATGAACAGCAGTACCTCAATCTGCCTAAACCACTCGGAGCTCAACAGGTTGGTAAGAGGGGTTTTTCTGAGCATGAAGCTATTCAACATGTTATAGCCTTGACTCAATTCGGTCCGCATCCTGTTGGTTCACCTGCACTTGATCATGCCTTGCAGTATGTGTTGCAAGCCATAGAAACTATTAAGGAAACAGCTCATTGGGAAGTTGATGTAGAATTAGATCTTTTTCATGCTAAATCTGGTGCTAATCATATGGTTGGTGGACTTTTCAAAGGGAAAACTCTGGTTTATTCTGATCTCAATCATATTGTATTAAGGATTTCGCCAAAATATGCTGCTGAAGCAACGGAAAATGCTATTCTTGTATCTTCCCACATTGATACTGTGTTTTCCGCGTATGTTTCTCAATTTCATACGGTTGTCTTCAAAATATATTTATATTTTTACCTATCTTCTTGTCAGATGGTTGTAATGATTGACACTAGTGTATGCTACAAATGTTGTTCAGAATCCAGAATATTGTTGATGTTAAGTCTATTTTTTCTTAATTTAATCAGCTTAAATGCTAATTCAATAATTGCTTGCTTGCACTTCTCATTCCAAAGCTATGAACACTACCTCATTATGTTTCAAATTATAATCTAGAAAGTTCTCATTATGTTTCAAATTATAATCTAGAAACAAGTTCTGATTTATTCGTAGCATAATATTCAAGTGTATTGATAGTTACCTTTACCTAAAAAAAATATATTCAAGTGTATTGATATAAGTTCCTCCGAGAAGTAGATATTCTAACCCAAGTAGATGCTCCAATAAGAATACAAAACACTTTTGGTTTAGCTG